GTCACATTTGGGGGAAAGGGAAAAGGTTCGCCTGTTTCTACCCAAAGTTTTTCAAGATGGGTGGTGCAATGTATAGCAGAGTGTTACCAACTGGCGGGTAAAACCCCGCCCAGGGTAAAGGCACACTCTACCAGGACGCAGGTGTCCTCGGTAGCCTTCGGTGCCCAGGTACCTATCACAGAAATCTGCAGGGCAGCCACCTGGTCTTCCCTCCACACGTTTACAACGCATTATGCGCTTCCTCAACAGGCCAGGGAGGATACAAGGGTGGGCTCTGCAGTCCTCGAATCTGTGATGTAAATATGTAAATATACAGATCTCGTTGTCTTTGTTCTGGGTTGGTGATTTGTCACTGTTTATTTGTTCAAATAAATCTGTTTATTGTTCACCTTCCTTTATGACTCTGGTGCTATGACTGTTCCGACCCCTCCTCCTTGGGGTTAGCTTGGTAGTCACCTACTTCGAATGGACATGAGCAACCACTCAAAGAAGAAAAGAACGGTTACTTACCTGTAACTGTTGTTCTTCGAGATGTGTTGCTCATGTCCATTCGACTCCCACCCTACCTCTCCTTCGTCGGAGTATCCAGCAAGAAGGAACTGAGGTGGGGCAGCGCCGGCAGGGGTACTTATGCCCTGCCATGGTGGCGCCACTCCAGGAGGCGCCCTGCCGGCGCTACGGGTACCACTAGGGAAAACGCTCCGGAAGACGTGGTGCACGCGGTGCGCACACCTACTTCGAATTGACATGAGCAACACATCTCAAAGAACAACAGTTACAGGTAAGTAACCGTTCTTTTTTTTGTTTTAGCTGGATCTGATAGAAAGGTTGGAGATAAGAAGTCATCTGTTTTATGACAAAATGTATTTTTAATGTGTGTTTGGGGAGACTGGAATGTATTCCTTCCAATCACTGTACAAGGTATTTAGCCACTCAATTCTCATTAACACCAATGACAGTTAAGGAGCTAAAAACCTACACATCAAGTTGATAATGGACCTCTTAATGTTTTAGATCAGGCTCTTCATAGAAAAAAAAAGGCCTTGAATGTTTAGGCAGTGCAATCTAGCACTAGAATTGGGAAGCAGAACTTCTGAGTTCCATCCTTGACTATACCACTGATTCATTATGTGATTTGGGTCTAATCAGTTTCTCTGCACCTCAGTTTACCCATCTTTAAAAGCAGCAATATAAACCCCTTAGACTAGAAGAATAACTAGCATTTTAAAAATGCTTAGAGCTCCTTGTATGAAAAGTGCTTTGCATGTATATATTAATAATATTTGATTGTGAATCAGAAAATTCTTGAGGAGAAAACTAAAATGAGTGTGTTATTACCAAAATGTTTTATGCTCTCCATTGTGAATATTTGAAAAGAAAAAAACTTTCAATATACATTATATGAAACGTAATGAATTGGCAAATAAAAATAGCTGTGTTATGTTTATTTTTAAATGTGGTCTTTTCCTCTTATTCCCAGAGCATGGGTTCTCAGCTGCTCATAAATTAGAGACATGGGTCAAGCTAATGGTTAAACAAAGGCAATAATTCACACCTTTTTCAAGGTCCTGTACTAAACAAGTCATAACAGAATTCTGAACTTACCCTTTCATTTAATGATATCATGCTTTGTTTGTTTGACAACACAACTTGAGTGGCATTGATTTTAACCAAACAGTAGTTCAAATAACATGCAAAGATGAACACAAAAAAAGGAGAATTTGTGATGCTGGCTCTCAATAATTGTTTTTTTTTCTTTGTTTACCCCTTCCCCCTTTTTTTAAGTAAACTTCAAGAGTCAGAAAAGAAGAACTTGGAACTGTTGTCAGAAATTGAAAAACTGAAAAAAGAGACAGAAGAACTTAGATCAGAAAAGGGTATGGCAACTGGTGTATCAAAATAAATGAGAATATACTGCATAGTAGTGGGTATATCTTATCAGTTAAGAGTATCATCTTTTGGTGTAAATTCAAGAACCATGATGCTGAGATATTCTGGCATTTAAAATGTCTGCACAGCTATTACATGGTAAAATGTACCTGCAGCAAATGTGTGTGAATTTGTTGTATAATATTTTGGAGTTTTCTTGGTGCTTCTGAAGCATAAGACTCATTTGTACTTGAAATGAATTAGTTTTATTTCAACTTGTACATAGAGTTGACCACTATATAACCCTTAACAGTACATAATATTCAATAAACATTTTTTCTTTGGTAGATAAGGTTTTTTACACTTGAGTGTAGTCAGTCCGTCCTACCCATTTCTGAATTATCCAGCTAAATCTACACTGAGAGGAAACCATAGCAGGGGCATTGATAAAATTCAGTGGTGTTTTTTTCCTGCAGTAGATTAGTGCTTACAGATGGCAATGCAGTCATAGACAGAAATGATTTTCTAATTTTTGCCTTGCTGTGATTGAACCAGTGTTGCTGGAAACAGAGACTTTTGAGTAATATCCAAATACATGCTAGCGTACTGAGAGGTGGAGTTCAGAGACTCAGCTGACCTGGTGTAGCTATAACATTTATGTCCTGCTATCCAGGCTTGAAGAAACAATTGCAGATAGCATTGTTTCAGGTAGATGGAAATTAAAGCTCTTGTGTCACTTTCCCAGGTGCAACCACTAGTACTTAGAACAACAAAACTTTCTAAATTTGTGGGAGATCTGTTTTGCTTAGATTCAAGGTATTTTATAGGGTTTGCAATCTCAAGGCATTCCACAGAGAAGTGTCTGCTCCAACTCCTTTTCACCTAGTGTAGCTAGGCCTTTGAGTTATGACAGCACAAGAATACTACACAATTCAGAAATGACTGCTGCTGATTAGCTAGTAAGAGGAAATTATTTATAGTACTGATTCTTGCTCATTTTGATGCTTTATATTCATATTCAGAGTAAATATAATCTTGATATTTATGGAGATGCAAAATGGGAATTTGAAGCTAACTTGTTGCTTTTGAAAACTTGTCCTTGGTGATGATTGTTTTCCATATGTTTGTCCTCCCATTTATAGTTTCATGAACAGTACACAACTACTATGCTCCCAAAAACTGATTATTAATCTGCCTTGCAGCACTGAGTCATACAAATAATTTATAGTTAGTAGTTTACCTAATCTGGTATTTTCCAGTGTTACATTTTTGTATGAATAGAGATAAGAGTTTAGTTCTAATTCAGAAAAGATTGTAACATTTATTTTGAAAACTTCTGGATCAAAAAAAAATCCATTATTAGTATAAAAATATCTTGATGGCTAAAAGATAAATATTACAGAGGATTCAAGGGCATTAATTTCGTGTGATAGAGCAGACTAACTCACTGTGCCTTGGCATTGTTTCCTAAGAAGGGGTAATTTAGATTAGCAGATGCATCCTTGGATAGGGGCTGGATAAGTATATTCTAAAACACGGGAGAGTGAGAAAATAACACAGGAAAAAAATGATTGTATAGCATGAAAACTTCTTTGAGAAATGCATTCAGTCTTGGTTTTGGAGTTTTGAAAGGGAAGTGTTGTATGCTTGATATTTTAGAAGGCGAAATCTTCTTTATAATGTTTTAATTTTTTAATTGTGAGATAGATATGGATTGAACAGTGTAACATCCATCCTTGTTGGAGAAGGAAGTGTGATGTAATCTCTCTCACACACACATCTCCTCTCCCACATTGTAGTAAAGAAACATAGATGTAATGACAAATCTGTTGGGAAAACAGCGATTCAGGCATACTCTGTGGTCATCTTATTATTCTTAGAACTTACTAGGTATTTGTAATTAAACTGTCCATTAATGAGGACCTGAATGATGTCAAGAAGAGAGATACTGGGCTTGATTCACCTTTAGGTTGTCCCAGTCCCTGTATCTTCATAGGCTGTAGACTCCTCCTGGTGAAAAGACCACCTGGAGTAGTACAGTTATAAAGCATTTTCAGCATTTCCACCAGAACTCACCTGTCTTAAATATTTAAAAGTAGGTGGTGCCGGCTGGGTGTGGCGTATTTTCAAAGAACCCAGATTAAGTGTTGTTTCAGCATGTTTCCTAGGCAATCAGCTCTGGCATACCTTTCTTAGAACCTCATGCACAAGCTTAAGCTGCCTTTTCCTGACAGAATTTCTAGAGAAAGCAGCAGTGCAAATCTGTACCCTCTCCCCACCCCCCAAGGTGCATGTCTTCTAGGACATAGAAACCGTACTGGTACAAAGTGTGAAATGAGCCACGTATATGCATATATGTGAATCAGTATTAATATATTGCAAATGGACATATACACATGCATTACACAACCTATATACATATGTTCACTATATCTAATAAATCATCTTGGCATTATACACATCAAGGGAAATGAATATTCAACCATATGCTGTATACTCTGTGCATGTGTGTTTAAAAGGTACCTTCTTGAGTAGCAGACCCCGCATGACAGCCTGTAATATATTTTAGAAGATGATTCAGATGAACAATATACACATGCATTACACAACCTATATACATATGTTCACTATATCTAATAAATCATCTTGGCATTATACACATCAAGGGAAATGAATATTCAACCATATGCTGTATACTCTGTGCATGTGTGTTTAAAAGGTACCTTCTTGAGTAGCAGACCCCGCATGACAGCCTGTAATATATTTTAGAAGATGATTCAGATGAACAAAATAGTCATTTTGCTGTAGCTTAAAAAACTTGCTGCTGTTTTCTAGGTGTAAAGCACCAAGACTCACAGAATTCTTTCTTGGCATTTTTGAATGCTCCTACCTCTGCTCTGGATCAATTTGAAGTAAGTGTGCAGACATTTGAATTTCTTTGGCAGTCATTTACATATTTTTATTCTTGCTGTTATGCTGGTTGCGTCATGTAGGTTTTTGCTTAGTGGTTAATATTGGCTCTTAACCCCATTATCCTTCTATATTTGCAAACCATTTTATGTTATAATAATAATTTATAATTGTTTATTATACCTTCTCCCTGCTCTTGAATAGCTGGTAATTATGGTCCGTTCTTTTTAAAGGTGATGTATGGTAAAATGTGAAACTCTAAAAGAAAGATGAAGTTAAATTACCTTTAATTGTAAAACATACTTAGCTAACACAGATTACCTGTCTTCCATTCATTTTTATAGGAATTTGTAAACCAAGGGCTAAATACTGCCTTTGGATGTATTCGCTTCTGTTAAGATCAGTGGTACCATGCATGTGTCCAAGAAAATCAGAGTAAGACCGCAATAAAATTGTTTATTTCTTTTGCAATTTTTAGATCAAAGTTCTGGCAAATAGAAAAACAGAAGAAAACATAAAATGGAAACATATTTCAAACCTCCTCTTATTTATTAGAAGTAAACCTTATAAAATGTCTATAAAATATTAGGACTGAAATCCTGTTTCTATTTTAAGTCAATGACCAAATTCCCACTGACTTCATTTAGGCCAACATGCTATCCTTAATATCAAATCCTATCCTAGAATTTGCTCATGGCTCCTACAGATGTCAACAGAAGATGCATTTGGCTATTTTAATACAGGACAGTCTGACCCCTACAATTTAAGGAAGAAAATAATTTATTAAATTTGAAATTTTTTACTATTATCTTTTAAAGCATATTCACTGTTTCCTAAAGTCATTGCATTCACCACATCTGATGTTTATATTTAATTTGCTTTTTTATGATTTATGAGATGTAGGTTTTAATACAGAAATTCTGTCAGAATGGGCAAATATTTTTGTTGGGTGAAGGGTAGAACTTTTTTGGGATGGATTATGGATCAAGTGCCTAAGAAACCAAAAGGCAAATAACAAAGACTTCACAACTTTAACTGATATAATTGTTACTTGGCATTAAAATCTTTTGCAATTTTTCGTTAATTGTTTTTGCAATACATATTGCATCATTTATTTTTACTGAATAGTTCTCTTCATACATTTCTTTCTGTTTCTTTACCTGTTGTGTTTGTTAAATAGGATTCCTTTTCTTCTTCTTCATCCTCATTGATTGATTTTATGGATGATGTAAGTCTTTGACCTTCAAACCAGTAAATCCCTCAATAAAAGAAATTGGTTGTTTGATCTGGCAAATTCAAACATAATGCAGTCAATTTTAAGAATTGTATGATTTCAAGAGTATCTGAGAGCAGCTTGAATATAGTGAGTTGGGGAGGGAAGGTATAAATTCACACAGAGAAGTTTAACGAAACAACCAAAACAAAGAAAAATACCCTGATTGCAACTAAATACACATTGTCCCTTATTTATTCACGATCCCTTTTGGGTTCAGCCCACTTCCATGCTCTGAATTCTTTGGACACATGGTTGTCCTGCCTCAGTTTAAACCATTCCCTGTCTCCCAACTCCTAGCTTAAACTCACACACAAAGAGAGCAAGCAAGGTATCTTATACGATTCAGATTTCAGCACTGTATGCCATTGGTTCTTCTGGCCCCCTGCTAACACCTGTAACTACCTGAGTTTAACTCTTTAGTCACCGAATGCTATCCAGCACTCCTATCGATCATAGGGAAGGTGCTGTAAGTTTTGTCAGGGCTAGTCTACTAAACTGTCACCTATTCTCAGTCCTCTTGGTAACAGTTCTGAAATCATCAGTGATATTTAATTTATTTCACTATGTTGTTGCATGTTATACCCATTTTCACGAATTGATGGCTAGCAATTTTTAATCACTTTCCTGGGTTTTTTTCTGTTTGATGACTAATTTTCTCAAATAAATGATAGATTGTATGTTATTAATGAATTACTCCTAAAATTAGGTAGCTATCAGTATAGCCATCTATTTTTGTTGTCATTTGGCATTTGTTTTTAATTCAGAAAAACATTGAAATATGTGGCATTGGTGGCAAACTTAGTGAATCATTTTAAAAGCTGTAAATTGACTGCATTATTTATTTTCCAGACCCGAGTAGTAGGCTAGTAGATTTAAATACTTAGAAATGTTTTGACAAAATAGGCACCTTTTACCTTCTTTATAGAACTCTCCATTATAACACTGTTTGATATAAGGTTATGGTCTAAGCTGTATTAAAATGCCGTATAATTAATTGTGTTGTGAAAACACCATTATAAAATTGAAAATGGGATTCTATCCAGAATGATGAAATAAAAAGGATGTAGTGCATAACCATAATCTGATTATAACATTTCATATCAGAAATTCTTTAAAATATTTCTTCTGATGTATATGGTTTATTCCTATGGTTGGAGCACAAACTATGTGAGTGCATATTTACAGTACCACATTAGAAGTATTAGTCTGTGTTATCATTAACTAAGCCAGAAAGATTTCTTTTCAGACATCTTAGAAATATCCTTATGTCTAGAGTCACCAAAGTAATCTTTGTCATGATAACTTCTATCCTGTTTCTGTGATTGGGTTAAAGAAGCATTCTGCTTTGTGAGAGAGAGAGCCTTATGAAAAGGTTGCTTACCTCAACCAGTTCTTTAATATCAACTGAGAAACATGATCATTTAAAACACATACCATACCGTCTTCAAAGTTTGTTTGAAGAGTAACAAGATCAATGTTTGGGAGACTAGTTGAAATGACCTAGCTTTGTGGAAGGGACCTAGACCAATTTAGGGAGGAGATGAGGGGGAAAGAATTGCTGTTTGGCTTTTAGGCTTAAGCTGAAAGGCATCAACAAATCAGAAATAATATTTATTAAAGCAGAGAGAGCTTTACTAAAACGAACACAAATACATTATTTCTGCAAGGAAAAGCATTTTATGCTACTTTCAAATAATTTACAATATATCCAGCATAAGTCTGGCAAAAGTCCTTGATGTGTTATCCATTGGGTCACATCACATCTGTAATAATATAATATAATTGTGCATAATGCCAAGCTGTTGATCTTGTGGCATGTGCAGGGTTAACTGTCAAAAGAGATGTGTTCCACTGTGGAGTCATTTGTTTTAGAGGACGGTTATCTTGATTGGGCCACCAAGATTTAACTTTCTCCTAATTATGATCTTAAAGTTCTTGGCAGGACTCTAAATATCACTGTATATACTATTAAAGATAGATGGGTTAACATTTTAATACTTAACATACTGAACATGAGATTTTCATTATTGGGTGTTCAGGCTGAGCTCAGTGGGAGCTCTCATCTCAATCTACAGTAGGCAAGAGGAGCTTGGAACTGTGGTAAGGAGGGACAGAGAATAACATAGGTAACAGAAATAGAATACTTTCTCACTCTGCCAAGAAGCATAAAGAGGTTACCATCTTTCCAAGTGAGGATAGAAGCCATTGCACACAAGTGAGAGAGATTTACTTAATTTCATTTGCTTGAGGTCTCTTCCAACCCTATGATTCTATGATTATCCTGTACACCAACGTACTAGCTAGAGCTGCTCAAAAAATGTAGGGGGATAATTTTCCATCAAAAAAATGCAGTTTTGTCAGAATGTAAATGTTTTTCAGAAACATACAAATTTTGACACAATTTTCAGTGGGCAAAAGTTGAAAAGAATAATTTTGACTGTCTTGTTTCATTTTGATAATGTTGAAATGTTTCATTTTAACTTTATTATTTCAAGTTTTATATGAAAATATAAACCTTAATGTTATGTTTATATTTAATTCAACATTATCTTAACTGAACATCGGGATTCTAAATCAATATTTTTCAAAATTTTTGTCCTGCAGGAAATGTTTTTCTTTCATTCTAATTTGGAATGAAAGCTGATTTCAGAAAGTTGAAATTCACCTTAGAATGAACATAACATTTTCAAGCCATCTCTCTTATTAGACCCTCCAGTTAATTTTTAATGCATCTGATAAACATTTAGATGGTATCATGAGCTTTCTTGGGCACAACCCACTTCAGATGACTAGAGTGGTGGATGTCCAGAACCGAGATTAAATAGGTGAGAAGGGGGAGGGGGAATGGGAGGCAGGACAAAAAAAGGCAGTGGGTATATAAATATCAAAGGAAAAACCAAGCTGGTATGTAACAAGCAAAACTGATAGTATTATAAATACTTAAAGACTGGATAGTAAAGGCATCAGATAAGGACCATTAGTTAGCATTTAAAGAGGAAGGGTACTAACACCAGAATCTACGCAGACAAAGAACCATTGGCACCTTCATTGATTGGTTGGTTGATAATGTCCAAGCCATCTCAATTCAAACGGTGGGGCATGAGAATTAAACTTGTGAATGAATTGTAGTTCCAACTCTTCCCTGTGTATTTGGCTTGTGGAATTGGTCTGTAACAAAACAGCAACTTGGAGATCTCTTAATGAGTGGACAGGCAGATTAACGTGTTCACCACCAGGTTTCTGTATGTTCCCTTTACGGCTATCTGATTTGTGTTATTGATTCTTTTCCATAGGGACTGTCCAGTTTGTCCAATATATATTGCAGTGGGGCATTGCTGGCATTTGATGGCATAGATCACATTACTGGATGTGCCGTTGAATGAGCCTCTGATTTAGTGGCTTATGTGGTCGGCTACAGTGATGAATTCACTTGTATAGATATGAGGGCAGAGTTGGCAGGGATTGATTGCAGGGCTGGGTTCCTGGATGCTTATGATGTAGCTGTGTAGCATGGTTATCAGAAATAATTTGTTTCAGGTTGGGGGGGTTGTCTGTAAGCGAGAATAGGTCTTTCCCCCAAGGCCTCTGAGAGTGTGGGATCACTTTCCAAGATAGGTTGTAGATTGTGGATAATGCATTGGAGGGGTATAAGTTGTGGACTGTAGGTAATGAGAAGTAGAATTCTGTTGTGTTCTTTTTTGGGTCTGTCTTGAAGTAGTTTATGTCTGGGTACTTTTTTGGCTCTGTTGATCAGTTTTTGCACTTCTTCAGGTGGGTATTTCAGTTTTAGGAATGCTCTGTATAGATCCTGTAAGTGTTTGTCTCTGTGGGATTGGAGCAAATCCGGTTGTATCTTAGGGCTTGGCTGTATACAATAGATTGAGAAATGTGTCTGGGATGGAAGCTGGAGGCATGAAGGTAAGTGTAGCGGTCGGTAGGTTTCTGGTATAGGGTGGTGGACATTTGTCCATCATTTAATTGTACTGTAGTATCAAGAAAGTGGATTTCCCGTGTGAACTGGTCAAGGCTGAGGTTGATGGTGGGGTGGAAGTTGTTGAAATCCTTGTGAAATTCATTGAGTCTCTTTCCTGTGAGTCTGTATGATGATGTCATCGATGTAGTGTAAGCAGAGTAAGGGTTTTAGGGGGTGAGAGCTGAGGAAAGGTTTTTAAAAGTCAGCCATAAAAATGTTGGTACATTGAGGTACCATGCAGGTGCCAATGGCTGTGCCGCTGACTTGAAAACACAAATTGTCTCTGAATCAGAAGTAGTTGTGGGTGAGTACAAAGTTGCAGAGCTCTGTAATCAGGTGTTAATTGCTCTCATTGGGGATGGTGTTTCCAATGGCCTGTAGTCTTTATGTGAAATGTTGGTGTAAAGGGATTCTGTGTCCACAGTGGCCAGGATGATATTTTCAGGTAGGTTACTGATGTTTTGAAGTTTCCTCAGGAAGTCACTGGTGTCACGGAGGTAGCTAGCAGTGCTGGTAGCATAGGGTCTGAGGAGGGAGTCGATATAGCCAGATAATCCTGTTGTAAGTGTGCCAATACTTGAGACGATGGGTCATCCGGGATTTCAAGGTTTGTGTATCTCGTGTAGCAGATAGAAAGCTCCTAGTCGGGGATTGGGGGGATGTTAGTGTAAATTTGTTCTTGAGAAGCATCAGGGAGCTTCATGAGCAGTTGTTTCGGGTTATTTTGGTATTCTTTAGTGGGATCACAAGAGAGAGGCTTGTAGAATCTGGTGTTGGTCAATTGTCCGGGTGCCTCCTGTTCATAATCTGTTCTGTTCATGATAATTATAGCGCCCCCTTTGTCAGCCTCTTTGATTATGAAGTTAGAATTGTTTTTGAGGCTGTGTATAGCATGACTCACGCTATATGTTGTTGTTTGCTGACAATGTCAGCTCAAGCACGTTTGCGGAAGCAGTCGATCTAGAAATCAAAGCTCTCGTTACGACTATTAGTAGGGGTCCACATAGAAACCTTCCTCTTGTGGGATTGGCTGGGGAGAGCAGCAAGGTCAGCGTGTTGTACATCGGTGTGTTGGAAATATTCTTTCAGGCGGAGGTGACAAAAATAGGATTCCAGATCTCCATAGAACTGAATCCTATTCATAGAGGTAGTGGGGCAGAAGGAGAGTCCTCTAGACAGGACAGATTCCTCTGCTGGGCTGATAGAGTGGTTAGGTTGACATTGTTACTGGGTGAGTTGAAAGTATCTGGAATGAGAGATCCTGAGGCATATAGCAGTTTGGATAGTTTGTTGTCCTTTTTCTTCTGAAAGGACATTGAAGTGGTCCTTGAAGGTGGTTTGCTGAATTGTAGTAAAGCCTGGAAAAGATTAAGTGTGTGTGGATGGTTTTTTTATGATAGTTTCTAATGTTGAGAGCTCCTCCTTGATTTTTTTTTCTGTTTGTTGTACAGAATGCTGATAAGGAGATTCCTGAAGTTTTTGTGGGGTTTTTTTGTTTGTTTGTTTTTTTACAAGAGTGTGGCATAATCTCTGGCTGTAGTCCGTGGTGTATGTAGAGTGTAATGGGTTTTTCACCCTCACACCCTTAGATTAAACAGGCAGCATATATATTCATTCATAGTTAGCTTGGTTTCATGCTCCAGGCCTATTAAACAAGTTTTATTTCAGTATAGCAATCAGAATTGTAAAAAGTAAAATAGGAGTCTTAAAAAATACCACTGTAATCAGACATATCCTCCTTCTCCCATTTTGTTCCCCTGACTGACAACAGTAGCTTGGAAGAACAGTGAGAGGTTTTTGTAGCAAGACTTGAAGGGAATCAAATCTAGACTCTGGCAAACCAAGGAGGAGTGTGAATTCTAAAAACCAAAGGCCTTTCACCTGCCACTTTCCCCTACCCAATCAAAGCTGCTAGCTAGAGTTTCTCAGGATATTGCAGTTACTGCAATATCACTTTGGACATGGGGTGTTTGTTCTCTTGAGTAGACATTTCTAACTGCCTTTATCATCTTCTCCCGGCATGCAGCAACTGTATGCTCCCCTTATACTGGTAATAGTTTAGAGACCAAGACATTATGCTAAACTTTACCCTCATTTTATACCCTTTGCAAGCCCACAGAAGGGCATGTAATTTCATGGGTGTGAATCACTTCAGAATTTGACTCGCTAAAAACATGCTTGACAAATTATCTATTTATATACAAAGGCAGAGCTTTGGCTTGCATCTCTGCCATCCAAATAATTTAAATGTTTAGAGCAAACTGTGAATGATTGTAGTTTATTCTAATTATATCAACCAGGAACACTATAATTTTCCTATTTCTATCAGAGAAAAATAAAAATAGATGCCTGGGCTCCAGCTGCCTGTCACTAGTGCCTGCAGATGCTTCAGGGGAAAAAAAGCCATCTCACTGTGCTGCTGATTCACTGTGCCTCCCCTCCCCATATTAAATAGCAACTTGGGCTGTATTTTAAGGGTAATGATAGTGATCATTTTTAGTGGAGCCTACTGTGACCCTGGCAAGCATTTGCCCTGCTTATTGCAACAGGGGGAGGGAGGGGAAGTGTTGTTTTTAAATAATTGTAAATGAAATGTCACTGCCTCCTGACTGACTGAAGCTAGTGTTTGATTTAGGTCCTATCCTGTTATCGGTCCTTGCCCAAAACACCCTTTGGCTTCAGCTGGACAACCATACATAGAACATTGAATCTGGCCTTGATAAGCCTCCAATGTACGAACCAGATCCACAACTTTCCTAGTTAATTCCTTGATTGCTCTTTGCCACATTCTGAAGGGTAAATCCTGGTTGCACCCATGTATTGTAAATTATAGACTCATAGACTTTAAGGTCAGAAGGGACCATTATGATCATCTAGTCTGACCCCCTGCACAGTACAGGCCACAGAATCTCACCCACCCCTCCTAGAATAATTCTCTCACCTATATCTCAGATATTGAAGCCTTCAAATACTTTGAAGACCCCAAGATGCAGAGATCCTTCAGCTGTGATCTGTACCCCATGCTACAGAGGAAGGCGAAAAACCTACAGGGTCTCTGCCAATCTACCCTGGAGGAAAATTCCTTCCCGACCCCAAATATGGCGATCAGCTAAACCCTGAGCATGTGGGCAAGACTCACCAGCCAGACACCCAGAAAGTTCTCTATAGTAACTCCTATCTTAGTTACCAAGATCATGTTATCTCATCA